TAGGAACTAGGATGAGAGTTATGTATGTCAATATAAGAACGATTTGACCTTACCGGCCATTGGTACTCAAACATTTGTGATTGCTCTCAAGATCAAATTTTGTCTCAGTACCACATATTGATTTCCAGGATGTTTTTCCATACAAGATGTTATGTTTGTCTGACATCGCAATTCTTGTTCATCCGCGTAGGACTCGCATGATCCTGTTATAGAATTCGTAAAATCTAATACTCCGAATTTCAGATTTGTAAGTCTATACATGGAGTGGTAAAAAAGCAATCCCTCATGTTTGATATTTATATAAATAATGTATCGGTGTGCAAACAAAGTGATCAAAGATGTTCGTTTAAAACAAAGTAATGACACTGAATCCCTCAGTACTGAATAAAGGGACCCAGTTGCATGTAAGAAGATTGGTGAATGTTTCAGAGATTTAGCAGTGGAAGTTAGCATGCTGGGTACACTGTTGCGACGAAGCTGAAGTAGGTCAATCCTCAATGGTTGACGTAAAGCAGACATGTTGTCCGTGTATAGCAGTTTCTCCACACAACATTGGGTTTATGACATTATTCGTGCTGACGGCGGGGTAGCGGGATGAACTAATGGTCTGAGCACAGGTTCCACTAATGAACAACTTGAAAGACAGTTCATCCAGTGTTAGACCCATAGTTTTATACCAATTGGCCCTCGATGGGTGATGTGGTCAGCATCACGGCGGCCACCTTTATTACAGAGGAATTTATCTAGTACCCGCTGAAGACTGTGTCGACATGGCAGCTAATGTGTGCGTGATAAAATTGCAGACATGAACCCGGATTCCTCTGATACCAGGCGTTTAAACGCAAGAAAATCACACTGATTTCACCAGATTGTAATTACATATTGCTTGCGTCTCTTCATATAGCGACTGTTTACCTGCCGAGAGCGTTGAGCAAAGCGCGACATTGGATAGCACCAGCGGGAAAAAAAAATAAACAATTATTTCCCTTATGTGATCTTTGGAAGAAGACTAAGCCCTTCTGAAGATTTCTGTATGCAAAGAATGATATCCTTCAGTATAAACAAAATTCAAACTAGAGATTATGAAGACATCCAAAATGCTCAGACAAAGACCTAAAACTAGTTACTTCACTCTGACGAGCATACTTCTTGGCATGATAAAAACTTGTGAGTTGCATGTTCCCAAGAGCTACCTATGTAGAAGGTAGCTTAGTAACTGGTAGAGTCTCTAACGTCGAACAGGGTAAGGGGATAGGAGCCAGATTAAGGGTGAAAAAAAAAAACCCTGTTGGCTTACCGACGGACTTGTTCAAGTTAACGCTTGTCTATAGGAACATGTGATCTGAAGTCCACCTGGGTAGCAGGCGAGGGTACTAGGCTACAATGCTGGAGGTCCTAAACCGTAGACACTCGATGGGTGAATATTTGCCGGCTACCTTTACTTCCAAAAACATTTCCAATTAACAGTTTTAGCCCCGTGCTCAAGTCATTTACATATTCACTTTGGTGAAGATTCAAACCTGTGACAACCAGATTAGCAGGCAATTTGTCACATTACCGTAGTTTCACTTGTTAAGTATAACTCTCCTCTCTCTCTCTCTCTCTCTCTCTCTCTCTCTCTCTCTCTCTCTATATATATATATATATATATATATATATATATATATATACATATATAAATGCAATCGTTCAGTAAATCTTGTCATATCATAAAGAGATCACATCACAACAAATGACGAGATCTGCCGAATAATTATCCACCACATTGCCGAGCCTCTTTTAACTGCAGTGAAAAGGAGGAAGATGCAATGGTACGAACAAGTGATAAGATCTAATAACATCTCAAATAATAATAATAATAATAATAATAAAAATAATAATACTGCAGGGCACAGAAGAGGCCAAGGGGAGAAGAGGCAGACCACGAAAGACATGGTTACAGAACTTGACTGACTGGACAGGACGCAGACATGCAACCATGAAGCCGATGACCTCTGACCGTCAAGATGGAGTGAGCTGATAATACAGACAACAGCAACTGGCGACCCATTGACAAGAAGTGTTACGGATGATATATATATATATATATACACACACATACATTCATAATACACATGACTTACTGCAATTATGCAGCTATTCAGTTCAAGGTAGACCTTTACTGCCAGAACACACAAACCGTTTATACTTTCTATCTGGGAAACAAAAATATATTTTATTAATACAACATCAAATACTGGGACAGCTAACACAACTTCCTAAACATTGTTTTATATATGTATACAACAGCTATAAAATCAACAGTACTTTGTGATACATTAAACAAATTGATAAATAAGCGTGACTAACACCAAGTTGTCTAGTCTAATAAACGCGTAACATTAAAAGCACCAGCAAGAAAATCAAGGTAAACAATTTTAGTCCAACTGATATCCTTAAGAAGATTGGCTATAAAAAAAAAAAAATCTTGTCTCGGAACATAAATTTGTTGGCCACATAAAGCGCCACGGCGAATTTGAAATAATAGTAGCAGAAGGGATAGTGCCAGGAAAGAGGAAGAGGGACCAACCATCACAAAGATTGGCACATGATAAAAGTGATATAATGGGTAGGAAAGTCCACGAGCCGCGAGATGGGCGAGATACTGGGTTTCTTTCAAGAAGGCTAGGAGAGCATTGTACTGCAAAGAACATTCTACATGATGATGTAAACTATCATAAAGTGTCATGTTTGCATTGAACACTTGCCCCTAAATATGTCCTATGTTTTTTTTTGTGTGGTCAGCAGACTTCCTTCAGTCCGTTTCTTGATTGTTTTTACCCAGATCTTCACCCCTGTTCTCTGCTCCATATGCTGTAAAAAGGAACTGGGTCTGTTTATTACCCAAAATATTATCCTAATTCACTGGCACTGATTTCACTCAGTGCCTTTGACTTATTCGATGTTTATAACTTTTCATTTGATGCTTTCATGTCATAAACATACGACTGATGCTTCAAATGTTTACTGATACAGTTATTCGTTATCCCCGTTTCTGAACAATATAATAATTGTTTAGACAGCAAAACAAATACTGCAATCGAATTAAAAAACACGAAACAATTACCTTTCCGAGGAAACGTCCTGAATTCCGTATATACATCTCCGGATAAATATTATCCAAATACCAGGAGAAACTGTGGCACTGAAGCTTCTCGCGCAATTTCTGCTGTTCTAGCACGCTTCCATATTTTGCCTAATAAGACAAACAAGATACATATATTGTCATTCATCATGCTTATACCAAACAATCGATGTGGGGCGAGCAGAGAGCGAGGCTTTCCGGTCAACAAGATGGCGGCTTCCGCAACTAATTATTTATTCTGTGTAGATTCCCGGCCGCTTTTAGACTGCTTCCTGAAAAACAACATCGACATCTTGCTGAAATCAGATGCTGCTTTTGAGGTAAATTTAGATAATTCCAACAAAAGGCTAGAGAAAAGCAGACTTGGTTGCAGTGGAACTTACAACAGTGCATTCTCTCAACTAGACCGACGACTGTACAGATCTGTAACTAACTAACTATTACTTCATAACTATAGTTGTTATAGCTACAGGTGATCTAATGAGGTATAAAGAAGAATAAAAAAACAAAACAGATAGAAAGAAGAAGAAGAAGAAGAAGAAGAAGAAGAAGAAGAAGAAGAAGAAGAAGAAGAAGAAGAAGAAGAAGAAGAAGAAGAAGAAGAAGAAGAAGAAGAAGAAGAAAAAGAAAAAGAAGAAGAAGAAGATAAAGAGGAAGAAGAAAAAAGAAAAAGGAGAGAGGAGGAGGAGGAAAAAAAAGGAGAGAAGAAGGAGGAGAAGAAGAAAAAAAGAAGAAGAAGCGAAGAAGAAGAAGAAGAAGAAGAAGAAGAAGAAGAAGAAGAAGAAGAAGAAGAAGAAGAAGAAGAAGAAAAAGAAGAAGAAGAAGAAAAAGAACAAAAAGTAAGAACAGAAGAAGAAGAAAAAGAAGAAAAGAAGAAGAAGGAAGAAGAAGAAAAGAAGAAGAAGAAGAAGAAGAAGAAAAGAAGAAGAAGAAAGAAGAAGAAGAAGAAGAAGAAAGAAGAAGAAGAGAAAAGAAGAAAAAAAAGAAGAAGATAAAGAAAAAGAAGAAAAAGAAGAAGAAAAAAAAGAAGAAAGAAAGAAGAAGAAGAAAAAAGAAGAAAAAGAAGAAGAGGAGGAGGAGGAGGAAGAAAAAGAAGAAGAAGAAAAAGAAGAAAAAGAAGAAGATAAAAATAATAATAATAATAATAATAATAATAATAATAATAAGAAGAAGAAGAAGAAGAAGAAGAAGAAGAAGAAGAAGAAGAAAAAGGACAATAAAAAGAAGAAGAAGAAGAAGAAGAAGAAGAAAAAGAAGAAGAAGAAGAAGAAGAAGAAGAAGAAGAAGAAGAAGAAGAAGAAGAAGAAGAAGAAGAAGAAGAAGAAGGACAATAAAAAGAAGAGGAAGAAAAAAAAAAAGAAGGCATTCTTTTGATCATTAGACTTTTAAAAAACTTCAATACTTTGCACGGCAGTGTTAAAACTATTGTGCAATGTGGTACAAAGTAACCAACCGATGTGTTGAGCAACAAAACAGCAAAGCTGACAGCTAACCAACCAGCCACCTAACCAAACAACCATACTACTTAAATTGGTGATATAAGGAAAGTCAATGTCAAAAATACCGTAAAATGTTTAAAAAAAAAAAAAAATTAAAAAAATGTTGATAAGCTCTTTCAATATTAGCTAGTCTTCCATGAGTCTCAATAAAACCATTTATTGCAAGTTTGTATGTGCGTGTAAACATGACTCTCTAGGAGATTAACTTAAACAACCTAGCATGTAGACTACATAATACCATTCTTCACTGTCTAAATATCGAGGGGAATTGTTCATAAACAGCATCTACAGACGTAGAGAGTATTAGTCTGCCAAAATTAAACAATGGAATAGTTTGGAGAGGAAAGTAATGGAGAGTTTAAATTCTGGAAGAAGAG